ACCTAAACTTCAAAACAATTTCAGTATTGCTGCCACTGTTCAAAAATAATTTTGGAACTGTCTCCACAGCTAGTTTTATGAAGCACTCAAGACAACCTGTGTGAACTTTACTGTCACATTCATTTTGAACCAAATATGGACTTGATTCAACCTAGAACTTGATTCAGTCTGCTAACCTCAAATGATTTACCTATTTCTAAAACTTTAATCCTCCTCATTAACCAGTATGTTTCTCTCTACTGAATACATTTCTAAAATTTAGATTCTATTCCAAGCAATAATTCTTAAGTATTTTGAATAGTACTTAAGCCTTGCTGGTATTTGTGCATGCTGTGGCATAGGTAGCATTAAGCGATTTTCTTAAAGGTCAAGACACAATTAGAGTAAGACTGCTCATGCTAGAGATGTGAAAGTACTAGAACTGATGAAATACACAGTATGTAGAGTTTGGAGGGGTTTTCCTTAAAGTAACTTAAATTTACCTTTATTTCCCTAGTAAGCATTCTACAAAGTAAAGGTTAGGACACATCCCTACTCTAAGGCCATGGTTTCCAAACTTTCAAATTATGTAGATAATTGAAAAGTTTTGGTGCCTGCCTCCCAACCCTACATGCTTAGTTGGAGTGTAATATGATCTGGGTAAAAGGAGTATCAAAAGTTCCACAGGTGATTCTAATGTGCGGCAGGTTCAGGAACCACAGTTATTAACTGAGGAGGCTTGGTGATATAGTGGTCAAAGCAGTCAGCTAACACAAAGGTCAGCAGTGTGAACACACAAGGCACTCCAGGAAAGATGCGGCAGCATGCTCCTATTAGCAGGTTTCTACCCTGGCCTATGGGTTCAAAATGACTGGCCGTAGAGCCGGCACCAGTGGATTGTTATTAAACAGAATCAATGTCCTACAACCCTAGTAACTGGCAAAGTATATTGGTTATTATCTCTAAAAAGGATTAGTATCTGTCCCTTTCTTACAGTATCATTGGAAATCATTTTCTCAAGATGATGTTAACAAACCACAGTGGGATGCAAGCACTATCTTGGGAAAAGACTACTGTCAAGTTTACAGCCCTTTTTAAAAAAAAAGTATTTCCTTTTCACTTTGAAAAACTGCTCTTTTTTGAGTTTTAAATCACAAGAATTATTACTACTAAGTTAAGTGTTCCAAAAGATATTTACGCAAAACCAGAAATAGTTGGATGTCAATTGAATTTTCTGTAGTACTTGACTTTCTCAACCATTTAGAGGCTAGGAAGCCAACAAGAGGCAAATCAGACCACTTGCAAATTGTAAACAGTATATTGTCAGTTCTTCCATTAGAGTTGGAACCACTACACTATGCATGGAATTTCTATAGAATTTAAGATTTGGGAGAATGATTGAACAAGAAGCTACAGTGCAAATGAGTCACAACTCCAAACTGGATTTGCAGTACTATGAAAGGTTAAAAGCTCCTTTTTTAAAAAAAGGAAAATTGCTTTCATAGCTATAGACATAACACAGGGTTTCTCTTTCCTCCCACAAATCTTGTGCTCTACAGTATCCTCAGAGTAAACCAGGATGAGACTTAAATAATCTGTAAACCTGAAATTGACTTTTTGGAAATTTACCTGATTAGTAATAATTGAACAGTTTGTACACAGTTAATCAGAAATGTGTACTCCTGATGAAGTATGCCAAATGAAGTACAGGAGAAGGGACATCAGGCTTGAAAATGAGGATTAGCAAAAAAAAAAAAAGACACTCAAGAGATAAACTGACAGTGACTGTAGCGTGTGTCAGAGATGATAAGAATGGGATAGGACAGGGTTCAGATCTGTTGTTCATAGGGTCATTATGTTGGGTGACTCGACTTCATGGCACTTAACAAAACATCAAAGTGAAAGAAGAGAGAGAAATGGTCAGTTCAGAGTGAAGTTATCAGTGGGTTGGCCCAGTGAAGTGTGAGTGCCTGGCATTTGTATACACTGGCAAAAAGTCTAGAATGATGCTCATGTTTCTTCTGCCCTATGCTAGTAATAAGTAGCTAAGGAAGTGTAGAGAAAATATTTTAGAGGTAAGGGTTGGCAATGCAAGACTCAAGAGAAAGTCTAGAAAGAACTGATCTGGTTGTAGTCATCACAACATGGTTGATTTTATCGAAAAATTTTCATAGTGAGATTATAAAAGTAAACATGTTATAGCACACTTGTTATATTGCCAGGCACTGGCTCTAAATTCTTGATTTATTTAATCCTTAAAACCACCTGAGGAAAAGGCCTCATTGATAAAACCTTGGTAAGTACTAACATTGAATGTTAAAGGAAGCCAAGCAGGCAAACCAAGAAAGAGACTAACCAAAATACGGGCATCATGGAAAACCAGGGTGAGTTAGAAGTAGGTGAGATAATGAGGGTCTGTTTGATTTGACAAGTGAGTTATTGGAAATGTCAATGAAGTGACTGGTAATTGTCTATTAACTGTTGGAACAAGGACAGATACCTTCCTGAAACGATGTTAATGGAGGGATTCTAGAACACGTAGCAAGGGGTCCAGAAATTCAAGAGTTTGAAGTTTAGGGAATAAGGGAGCTCTGGTGACTTAAATCTCTAGGGAGGAGGTTAAAAAGTACCAACTGCTCCATGGGAGAAAGATAGGCAGGCAGTCTCCTCCCGTGCAGTTTACAGCCTCTGAAAACTGACTGAAGTGTCAGCTGAGTCGGCTGCAACTCAGTGGCAGTGAGTTTTCAAGTTTTGTATTCTCTGAAAGAGGTAACAGGTCGTTTGTTGAGAGGATATTGTGGCCTCTAAGAGTGGAAGGTTGGAATTGTTGCTGAGAAAGAAAATATACATAGACAAAATGCTGATTGTTGGTTCAAGGGCTGGTGAGGCTGGAAAACTTTTATCAACCCATGGTTATGTTGTTTCCCCTCCCAATATGCTAGACCCAAAAAAGTAAGTTTAGAGTTATGATGATTTACAATTTGGAGGGACTGAGATTAAAAAGCAAACTACTGCAAATTTAAGTTAGCACTGTATTTCCAAATCTAGACTTTAAATGCTAAAAGAAATGTAGAAAAATTTTCAGGCAAAGTGGTAGAATCAAGCGAAATAGGCCTAGCTTTCCAGCATAATTAAGAACAGAGAATAAATAGAGGGGAAAGATTCACTAAAAATTATGTTACCAGAATTATTAAAATCACAGTGTCTTCTAAGCTCAAAACTTAGAAGAGAAAGGAATATGTAGCTTAAAATATAATCGTTTCCCTAAATGAATATTGCAGGCTAATGGCAAAACAAAACCACAGTGAAAAGAAGTATTTAGTACAGGTTTTGAAAATCTTAACCCAAATGGGTAACAATCAATTGAGTTTTTCTTTCAACTTTTATTTTAAAATGACTATCAGATACATCTATGTGAAAGATTATAAAGCTGTTACAAAAATCTAAGCTGACCTAACTGAGGTAGAATCTGATCAGCGAGTCCTCAGATGGCACAAACTGTGAAGTGCTCTACTACTAGCAGAAAAGTTGGGAGGTTTAGATCCATTACTGGCACCTTGGAAGACGGGCCTGGTAATCTGCTTCTGAGAGGTTACAGCTTGGGAAAAACCCTATGGAATAGTTTCATTGTGCATACTCAGGATAACCGTGAGTTGGAATCAACTTGATGGCATACAACAAAACAATGATTTGCTTAGATGCACAATTTAAGGCATGGAAACACTAAAATTAGGAAATTATGTAATCTTGTAAAGTAGGAAATTAATCCCTGTTATCTCAAATTTTTATTCTATGAAAGGGGTGAAATATTATTTACTCTAACCCTCTAAATATTGCTGAAGTGGCAAATTATCTAATTTGAAAGTATTTCATAAATATATTCTTTAAGTGTGACAAACTAGTAACTTGATTATAGTAAATGTTATGGCAATAGTTAATTCCCAAATATTAATGTAAAGGAACAAAATAGGAGTAAAAGTTCTTTACACAGTAGCTGAGAAAGAGCCCTTCTGTTACTTTTTAACTAAAAAAGCCTCATCATATTGGCTTTTGATTATGATTATAAATACGAGAGACTGAAACACAAGTTAAATTTCATTTCTGTATTTCAGAAAGCCTACTTGAATACACTTTGAAACAAGAGTACAACAAAATAGAATATACTTCAAATGTTGAATATACAAACTATTATAGTTCAAATCTGAACACTGGTACTTTCCCTCTTAACGTCAACTAAAAAAAGAAAGAAAAAAAAGGGGGAAGAAGAAAGAAAACTTCAGGTTTGAAAGTTACCTGATAAAAATTCATGCTGAGCCTGAACTTCCAAGTGATAGGAGAACTGAAACTGATATGTCTGCACAGATGCCAGGGCTAAGTGAGTGTCACAGGCATGTTACAGCAAAAAGGCCAGAGCCAACTGTTAATTTGTCCACAATTAAGAAACTGACAGACTACCATATAAAAATGTTACATGTAAATTCTATAACAATACTGTGCTAGGTACAAGATTTTTAAAATTTTTCTTTTAATAAAAAAGCTTTACACAAACAAGCCATTAGCTTATTTCAAGAAAGAAAACCGAAAATTTGTCTAAGGCCTTTGTTTTAAGTCAGCTTAAGCTAGATAATATATATATATATATAAAAAAAAAATCGCACTAGATCTTTTTTTTTTGCTATCTTTCTGAAGGATTTGGATCCATTCTTCAATTCACATTCTAA